AAACTCTAGGTCCCTCCCCTTTGTGTTACAACACCAAGGCGCCGTTTAAATAGCCTTCAACGTTCGGAAAAGCTTATTGCAAAGACATTGGTAGTCCCCTATTACTATTATCTGTGGTCTTACTCTACAGGAGGGTTTTCTTTGCACACTTTTCTGACCATTCCTTTGGATGCTTGCGTTTGCGATGAGAGTACATATTCGATTTAGAGTTGAACGTTTGCGGACAAAATGTACAGGTATACAAAACTTCTCCAGTGTGTGTTGCCATGTGTTCCTAAACAATAAAAATATACACACACTTAATATGGAGATATTAAAAAATATTAGAAGTATGTATTTACTCGCAAGCATTTTGGCAATTTGAAAGCTTTATCACAAAGTTTGCATACATGTTTTTTCTCTGCGCTATGCATATATTCAATGTGGCTTTTGTGGGCCCGTAAGGTTGGAGACACTTTAAAGCAAATTGGGCAGACTTGAGGCGTTTGGTATTCTTCGGTGTGCATTGTTTTCATGTGCCGCGCTAAGCCATATTTTGTTTTCAGCTCTGTATTGCATAATGTGCACTTTATTAAGGACCTTGATACGCCAGCATGTTCCTCCTGATGCCATCGAAAAGCTTGTTTCCCATTTAAGGACTTGCCGCAAATGTCGCATATCTTAGCATACAAATTTAGATGAACAAGCGCAAGGTGTTGTTTCATCATGTATTGATTGCAGAATCTGCATAAAAAATCAATGTGAATTGGCCAAAATTTTATTGGAAAGACATATCACACATCCATTTCAAAAGTGACACAAACGTAGCAGCATACAAATTTCCCAAAGAGTTTTTGGGGAGTGATGCTGGAGTGGCAGTCCTTGGTCAGATATGTACATATATGTACATGCATACATACATAAATCTAGGTCGTTCCGGTTATGTAGACCCGACTGCCGGGTACTTTGGTTTGCAGGGAGGTTTTTAGACTTTTTATTTACATATAAGTATGTATACCTTTCAGCAAAAGCTGGACCAAAACTTTGGTGTAAATTATTGAAAAAATTAAGGTAGAGTCTCCCTTGCCCGTGTGATTAACATGTATATATGTATTACGAAATAAATTTCGCGTTTTCTGAAAACGGGTGATTTTGATTTGTGTCTTCTTTGAAGTGGGTGTATTTTCACTTACCTTTTATCACATTGCGGGCATTTAATATTTTTTTGTTCTTTTGGGGCATGTATTAAATGATGTCGAGTTAAAATTTTACGGCTAAAAAAGCTTTTACGGCAAATGTCGCACTGATAAATGCGTTCCTTAGAACCATGGAAAAATTGCTCATGTGCCTCGAGACCGCTTCGATCGCATAGTACCTTCTCGCAGTGTTTACATTTGAAGTATTCTGGATTGATGTGAACTTGAATATGGTCAACTAGTACACCGCGGTTAAGTAATTTCTTGCCACAGCACTTAACATACCCATTAGTTTGGTGCTCTTCGCGGAAGTGACGTTTTAATTCTCTGAAATCTGTAAGAGATTTGCAACAGATACAGCATTTTAATTTAAAATTTTGCGCTATAAATTCATCACTTTCTGCTGTTTTATTTCGCTGCGTATTCCTTTTCTTAAGGTCATTTTCTTGTTCTGTCAGTCTTATTTTTTTAGGCCTTTTAGCCAGCCGTTTTCTTTTTGGAGGAATTCGACATCCGATGTCATCCTCTTCTCTCCCTGAGTTATTTTCTTCATCTTCAGACAACTGCGGTACACAGTTTGATTCTATTGTGCCATCTTGCATAGTTTCGCTCCTTATGCTTTGCATTTCTAAATTTACACTGAGTTGTTGGCTGTCTTCACTTATAGCGCTACATGGAGAAATCAACTTTTCAGTGTCAACAGCACATTCCCGTAAAGAAAGTGGCTCACTCCCCAGATGTTTCTCCAGATTTTCAAGCGCATCTGTCTCTGATTTACTTTCAGTAACCACAATCTCTAATTCTTGCAAAGTCTTAAGCTTGCTGCTCGCCGCCAAATGCGCCTTCTGTACACGTACGTAAAATTCATGAAAAGGATGAAGCAATTCCCAGCATTCAATGCAAACTACTTTGTTGGATAAAAAGGGCAACATACTGAGCTATAAATAATAGAGAAGTTAACTTAAAAATAGTGCATATACCTAAAAGTTAAAGAAAATTTACCTCTTCCTTGAAGTGTTTTTTAATTACCTCTCGCACATTTACCGATTGCTCATCATCAGAATCGAAATTTATTTGATTATCACACGCACCGGATTTTTGTAAACACAATGCACAGGATTGGTCATAAAACATTTTGCAAACTTTGTAAAAAGCACTGGTAGTCTGATTTGTTTTGTTTACATATTAAATCTGGTCTGTTCGAATAGATCTCCACTGAAAATTATTCAGCATCATATTGCAGGAGAGCAACACTAGTTGCGTTTGTTTACTCATTTCCAGTAAAATCTAGTAAAAGTTTTTACGGATTTTCATGTTTTGGCGTTTTTGTACGCAAAAACTTGCAAAGTAGGGGAAATTGAGAGAGCGGAAAATGACAGTTGAAGTTGCAAGTTTTTACTGGATTTTACTGGATAAATTTTTACTTGTAAGAATTTGCCAGTACGAAAAACAGCTGATCGCATGTTGCTGGATGAAATTTAAACTAATAAGGAGACTGTTTGTAGGTTTTTATTGTGGAAATTCACAAAATACATATTTAAATATAAAATAGATTGTTGTATGAGGAATATGCTGCGAATAAACAACCAATTTATCAGCTGTTCAAGAAACTTGCAAATTATTACTGGAATAGCGTTACTTTTTTGCAAATTTTTTCTATGAGAGCGAATTCTTAGAAATAAAGTTACTGGAGAGTTGCTGACAAGTTACTGGATAATTTGTAAACAAACACAACTAATAAAAACCCACAAACAGTTTCCTTATTAATTTAAATTTCATCCAACAACATGCGATCAGCTGTTTTTCTTACAAGTAAAAATTTATCCAGTAAAAGCTTGCAACTTCAGCTGTCATTTTTTGCTCTCTCAATTTCCCCTACTTTGCAAGTTTTTGCGAACGAAAAAGCCAAAACATGAAAATTCGTAAAAACTATTGTTGAATTTCACAAAACAACACAACTATTAGCCCTGTTCGCGTACGCACTATCCAGTAAATCCAGTACTAATTTTACTGGTTTTTTACTGGATGTCGTTTTCGTTCGCAAAAACTTGCAAGAAGCTAGCAAAAGAGGGGAAATTGAGAGAGTAAAAATTACAGCTGGACTTGCAAGTTTTACTGGATTTTCACTGGATAAATTTTTACTAGCAACTATTTGCTAGTAAGAAAAACAGCTGATGGCATGATGCTTATTGTAAATCACATTAAGAAAATAATTGTTTGTGGTGCTTTTAGAGTTGCAATTGGCAAAATAAACCTATTTAAATATATAATAAAATGGAAAGCACTAGTTTTCTAAGAAAATTGCATCGGAAAATAACAAATTAATCAGCTGTTCATTAAACTAGCAACTTCTTGCTGGTTTTGCGTTTTCGTACTTTCTTGCCTATTTCACTCATTGGGAGTAAATATTGGCTTACTCTTCGAAATTTGGTCACTGGCAAGTTACTGGATATTTTTTGCTAGAGAATACGAAAACACAACTATTATCGAACAGACCAATCATCTGTGAAATTTATTAGAGTTGGCAGGGATTTTATGTTATTAAGTTTTAATTTTTGTAAAGGCATAGGCGAAAATTCCCTCAAAATATACAACTGAAAATTTATAACCAAAATCAATGCAAGATAGCCAGTTTTATTAATTTAAGAATTAACATTTCGGCATAAAATTACCAAATTTGAAGAAAATTACTTCTCATATACTTACATACATGTTAGTAAATCGTATCACCTATTATTAATATTATAGTGCAAACGTATACTCATAAGTTACCCACAATATGTCCTTCAGAAAAAAATTAATTGTATACATACATATGTATGGACTGCTTTTTTTTTATTTGTAGAGCTATACTATATATTTTCCTTTTATTTTTGCCCGTCTGTATCCACTACATCCACGGATTCTATTATGGTCTCAAGATCTTTTTGTATCTGCTTTCCCAGGCCCATAGTTTTTTTCTTGGCACATTGTTCTGCCCATTCCTTAGGATGCTTCCGCTTGCGATGTGCGTACATATTCGCATTTGAATTAAATGTTTGCGGGCAAAATGTACAAGTATATAGAACTTCTCCAGTATGAGTTGTCATATGTTCCTAAAAATTAAAATATCAGTTCGAAATAGTTTTGTTTGTTTTAAATGAGCATGCTTACGCGTAGGTCATTAGGTCTTTTAAAAGCTTTGTCACAAAGTTTGCAAGCATGTTTTCGCTCGGTGGCGTGCATATATTTAAAATGTGTATGATGCGCTCTGAGAGTTGGAGACACTTTGGAGCATATAGGACAGACTTGCGGCGTCTGGTACTCCTCAGTGTGCATTACTTTCATATGTCGCGCTAAGCCATATTTTGTCGTAAGTTCAGCATTACACAATTCACATTTAATCATGGGCCTCGGTAAGCCCAAATGCTCTTGCTGATGACGACGAAACGCGTCGCCACCGTTGAAAGACTTCCCACAAATGTCACAAATCTTCGAATACAAATGTAGATGGACTAGCTTTAGGTGCTGCTTCATATTGTATTCATTGCAGAATCTGCAGTTGGTATAATTGCTTTGTTAGTTTAGGGAAAAATAAAAATTAATTTTTTTTAAACTTACGTTTTTTTCGCATTGCGTACACTTAACAGTCTTTTGTTCATCTGGAGCATGTAGAAGATAATGTCGAGCAAGTACTTCGCGGCGAAAGAATCCCTTAGAACAAACGTCACAACTAAAAGTACGTTCTCTCGAACCATGGAAAAATTGAAGGTGCGTTTCGAGCCCTCTCCGGTCTGACAATAATTTTGCACAGTGCGGACATTTGAAGTATTCCGGGTCATTGTGGAAGTGAATATGGTCAACGAGTACACCTCGCTTCAGTAACTTCTTGCCGCAACATTTTACATAGCCATTCATTTGGTGTTGCTGTCGAAAATGAATTTTGAGTTCTCTAAAATCTGTTAATGTCTTCTGGCAAAGAAAGCAAACTAATTTAAAATTATCGGCAATATATTCGTCATAGTCCGACGTTTTATGCCGCGGTTTGTTATTCTTCTTTGTCTCTGGCTTTTGGTCACTTCGCTTTCTTTTTTGCTTTCGTTTAGTACGAACTTTCTTTTTTTGTGGCGGAGAAGGCGCCAAGACATCCTCATGCCTACTGAGTATATCAGGCATTTCAATTTGTGATCCATCTTCAGATATATTTGGATGGTAGCATTCTTCTTTATACTCATCTTCACTTTTAATATCCACATTTTCAATACTCTTATCTTGCTTGTTGTCATTGCTAATTGTGTTATAAGGGACGGTCAGTTGCTCTATTCTAACACTGCATTCTCTTAAGGCAACCGACTCACGGTCTAGGTTATCGAAGTCCTTTTGACGACGAGGACGGCCACGTCGACGTTTAGGAGGTGATGCTAACTCATCTATAACATCTGGCTCTTCTTTTATTTCTGTCACAGATATCTCTAGCTCTTGCAAAGATTTCAGCGTGTTCATTGCTGCCAAATGAGCATTCTGCACACGTACATAAAATTCATGAAAAGACTGGACCAATTCCCAGCATTGGCTGCACACAACTTTCGTGGAGAAAAATGACATCATACTGAGCTACAAAAGGGAATAGGCTCATTTCAAACGTTGTAATTCGAATCTCAGACAACTTTACCTCATCCTTGAAGTGTTGCTCAATTATCCCACGGGCATTTACTGCTTCCGAATCATCAGAATCGATGTTAATTTTATCGATGGAATTGTTGGCTTTTTCCAAGCACAAAATACATGATAGTTTGTCAAACATCCTTCGTATTTATAGATGGTTGGAAAAATTATATTCTTCGCGGAAATGAACTTTTACTATTAAATTGCATTGTTTATATGAGGAACGTTGCCACCTAAACTACTTTGCCCCCCAAAATTCCAAATATGTGCCAAAATAGTGGATTTCCGAATAAACGCGCGCAGCGCTCATCTGGTACCCTGAACTCGCATTGATTTATCAGACAGTTGACAATTCGACTGTTTGTGCGATTTTTGCTCTGTATTTACTAAACTTAAAATATACAATATATTATTATGTTATACAATTTTTTAAATAAATGCTGGAATTTCAGCAACCATTCCTCAGCACTTTACAAATATTGTTTTATGCTATTGCAACAACAAAATACATCGCCCCCGTCTATTTTACAATAACAAAAACAAATATTTCGATGTTTTGACGAGTTTTTAATTTTTATACCCACCGACATTCATACATACATACCCGTATACATATGGATTTTTTGTTTAAATATATACGTAATTTACCATTAATAGTAACTAACTATCTCTAGATGATGTTGTTGAAATTAGAAGTTGGCACCTTTTGTTTTCCTTCTGCTTGCTCCTTTGACTCTTTCATGATATTAAAAGTTCGCATATTACGATTCTTACGTTCAGCTTCCCATTCGAGACGATGCCGTCGTTGCCTATGTTTATACATATTGGCGCTTGAGAAGAACGTCATTGAACAGTTCGGACAAACGTATAACACTTTGCCAGTGTGCACAGAGGTATGCTCCTATCATTAATGTGGAAATATTTATATAAAAATTAGAATAATTTTATGCATGTATGTATACTCTACCCTAAGGTCTTGAGGTCGCTTAAAAGCTTTTTCACACATGGTACATTTGAATTTACGCTCACATTCATGATTGTGATGAATGTGACGCTTAAGAGCCCGAGCGGTTGTCGAAACCTTATTGCAAATCTTACAACGATGCTCGCAGTCTTGGTTTTCATGTATTGTCCTCATATGCTGGTTAAGGCCATATTGATGACGAAGCCATGCTCCGCATATTTGGCACTGCTTCGGTTCAGGAGTTGGTCGCGGTTCATCAGAATGTTCTAACATGTGGTGTTTCTTCAAATAACTTACACGCACCAGCTTACCACATTTGTCGCATATGACTGTGGCACCGTGGGATTTTTTTATGTGATCTTTCAGTGCACGGTGAGTTGGAAATCTTAAAAAGAAAGTTTATAAATAGAGGTTATTTTATTATATTTTAACTGACTTTTAACATACTTTTTGATACGAGTACATTGCGTGCAATTGATTTTATATTCTGATTTTGGAACATGCTTTGAGAAGATGTGGTTCTCAAGAGATACATTTGACGAGTAGACTTTTTCACATTTTTCACATGGGAATGTTTTTGTTTCCTTTGCCTTTAATGGATTAACGTGCGCATCTTCATGTTCCTGTAGACTGCGACTATTATTAAAAATTTGTCCACAAGTTTTGCATTTGAAATATTCTGGATTCCCATGTATATAAATGTGCTCGGCCAGGGTCTTTCTTGTAAAAAATTTGCGTCCACAACACATCAAAAATGACGGTTCATCGTTATGAGAAGCTCGAAAATGCGCACGAATTTCGGCAAAATTTTTTACCAGCAACTCGCATTTTGGACATGAAAGTAGTTTTAAAAATGTTTTAATAACTATTTCATACTCTTCTTGTTGTGCATTTTTTGCTTCAATTTCTTCACGGGTCATGCGTTTGGGAGGTATAAGAGGCTTCGGTCGCTTACGGTATTTTTTGGGCTTGACAACCTTTCTTTTCGGAATGATAGCATATTTCCGTTTTGGTTCAAAACTTTCATCCGAATCTGTGTTATAACTACTTGAACTACCGCTATCTGCGGTTCCAGCCAAATCAATAGGCTCAAATTCAACATTGTAATTTTCATGGTCGTCATTATTAATAGAGAATTCCTGATTTTGATCATTTGCTTCGTTATTTTGAACATTGCCTTTAGTATGTTCTTTGCCAGAATTTTCGACGGATTCGCACGGTTTCATAGACTCTTCAATAACTACTTTTCTCGGTCGGCCCCGACGTTTTTTTTGGAGGTTGATCCCCAGTAGGTAGATTATGCTTTTCAGATTTCAGTTTCTCATTATCAGGTGTTATAACAATAGAGTATTTATTTTCAATAGCTTCAGTTTTGCCAACACCCTTCAACAAAACAGATAAAGGTAGCTCAGTTTCGGAGTCATTATCATTTGCAACCGGTATTTGATCCACATATATTTTGTTGGCTTTGGTTACGGCTGCATTTCCGATTTTGCGTGGGCGTCCCCGTCGTTTCCCCAATTTAACATTTTTATCTTTTGGTCTAGGTTCATCGATGAATTCAATTTGCAACAGCGAATCTATATCCTGTGTCTCTACTTTTATTTCTGAAAGGAAGACCTCGGCAAGATGATATATGTACATATCTATCATTCTTGCATAAATAAATAATTAGGTTTTTTACATATGTACCTGAATCCACAAATCTTTCTTCTAAATTTTCAAGAGCATCGGCCATATGAACAATTTCGGGTTTTAATTCGATTTCCTGTGCACAAGGCTCCGCTTCCTTCCCATGTGAATATTTCCAATCCCAGTGGTTGTGCAACTCAGCTACACGTAAATAAAATACATGGAAGTCGCGCAAAGCCTCCCAGCATGTCCAACAAATGCGTTGACCATCGCATGTCTTCCTCTCCGGCTGAAATGGGCAATATTATATCCTCGCAGATTGTTGGAGTTTACTTACTCTTAACCAGAGATGTTGTGATATTATATCGCAGATGTTCAACTGGAGGCCTTCCTCGGAAAATATCTCTATAAATTGTACTACAGATGTAGCATCTTCCAAACATGATATACAGCTCATCCCAGATAACGCGATTATTTGCTTATCCTGGTAAGACTAATGGTTAAGAGGAATTGTTTACATCGAGAAGCGAGCTGCCAACATACATTTTATTTGGATATGTAGATATTTTTTTAAAGTATAATTTTAATTTAATGTTGTTGTTGTAATATTTTAGGTCGATTTGCAACACTGCACAACTATTTTATTTTACGGTTGCCACACGTAAAACTAGAGCAATACCAAAATATGAAACTAAAAGATAAACTAATAACCTTTATTTTACATACATTTTTTAGTCGGTTATGTAGCTCATAAGATATTTATATTAAAAAAAGGCTTTAATGAACTATAATCGCTTAAAATAATGTAATGAAGTGATAAAATGAATAAATTAAATTTTCCCTAACATTGAATTTTTCATTTTCACTTCACATTTTCATAGAACGAGAATTAGCTCCCAAATACATACTTAAATATCCCATTTGGTAAACCCGTCGAAGTGGCAACCGTCCTTAATTTGAGAACAGCTGATTAATTGATTTGTTTACTTTTTCTTTTCTGCTGTACTGTTGATAAAATTTGCGGGGTAAATAAATAAGGATGGCGAACTATTTTTGCGACGATTTAAAGAAAGAACACATGGAACTTGCGACAATCATCAAGGATTGTCATGAAAATTTAAGAACTCAATCCAAAATAAAAGGGATGAAGGAAGCTTGGGATGAGCATTTGCAAAATACTCTTTCATTGCAGCAGTACTCATCGGCTATGTATCGGTTGGCTTCAATTTGGGAGACAAATACTACAAATCCAAACTTATTTGCACGCAGCCGTGTCAAATGGATAGTTGATTATTGCGAATCGTACTTTTTTACCAAGCGAATATTCCTTGAGAAGCGTGATCGCGAGCAACGCTTAGCCCAGTCCTATAATGATATTCCGTCCGCGGATATAAGTCTAGTAAGAAATACATTCTCGAAACCTATCAATGTTTTAGACGTAGGAAGTTGCTTTAACCCATTTTCTGGAGAGCCAAATTTTAATGTTACTGCGATAGATCTATGTCCAGCCACCACTGATGTCATAAAAGGGGATTTCTTAAAAATTGTCATAGATAAAGGCGAAGAAGTTCTTATAGAATGTGGGGAAGTTAAAAGCTTACCGTGTCAATATTACGATTGTGTCATTTTTAGCCTTTTGTTGGAGTACATACCTTCACCAGAAAAGCGTATGCATTGCTGTCGCAAGGCGTACGATCTGCTGCGCCCCGAAGGCATCCTTATAATTATAACTCCGGACTCACAACATGTAGGCAAAAATGCAAAATTAATGAAAAACTGGCGTTACACGCTGGGCACTTTGGGCTTTTATAGAATTTGTTTTGAAAAATTACCGCATATCACCTGCATGGTATTTCGAAAATCAGTTAATCCAGCCGTAGCACTGCGATGGGCTGAACTGCATCGCGAGGATTATATGACAACGACAATAAATATACCACAAGATGTTATAAACTAAAATTAAGTTACTATCATAAAGGCAATATTTTTCACAATGTGTGAGGTAAGAAGTTGTAAAAAGAAAAATAAAGAAATTTATAAACTATATATATATAGTTATCCTGGTAGTAAGTTTTATTTATCGTCACCGTGAAATTCAAAAATATTTAAAAAAGTATACAAATCCTTTTTAGCATATCTTTATTATATGTATGTATATGTACACACTCATACATTTTTGTTAATAACTATCCAAGCTCTGGCTCTTAAAAGCAACCTATATTTATCCTAATAGGTATGCATATCTATTTTCATAATTATAAACGCTTTAAATCTCATTGTTGCATCTTATTGAATAGCCATTTGTAAGTGGTGCTGCATGACCTCCGGATCGATGTTGATTCTTTCTGTGCCAACCGTACTTCCACTGGTGTTCATTTTCTGTGCAAAGAAGGCTGATGTAGCGCCTACTGCCTGTTTCGCTCTCTGTGCTGCTGTTGCACCCATAGCTTGAGCCATAATATTTGCTATATGCCTGGGTTTCTTTCTGTCTGCTTCCCATTCAGCACGATGTAATCTCTGTCGATGCTTATACATATTAGCATTAGAGAAGAAAGTCATTGGACAATTAGGGCAGGTGTATAAAACTTCACCGGTATGTGTGGAGGTATGCTCCTGCAATTAGAAAATTATTTAAGTAAAAAAGAATTAATTGAGATATAGTATTCTTACTCTAAGATCTTGAGGCCGCTTAAAGGCCTTTTCACACATAGTGCATTTGAATTTCCGCTCGCACTCATGGTTGAGGTAAACATGACGTCGTAGTGCACGAGCCGTTGTTGAAACTTTATTACAAATAGAACAACGGTGTTCACCACCGGGATCTTCGTGTATTGATTTCATGTGTTGTTTAAGGCCCGACATATGACGCAACCAAGTACCACAAATTTGACACTGCATAGGCTGTGGAATTGGGCGTGGTTGTTCAGAATGCTCTAGTTGATGATGCTTTTTCAGGTATTGTGTGCGCACCTGTTTGCCGCATTTGTCGCAAATGATTGTACTTTCCGGATCATGATTGTATTTCATGTGGTCCTTGAGCTTGCGCTGTGTTGGAAGTCTATGCAATGAATAATTTCAATATTATTTATTGCAAAAATTTATGGAAATAGACAATTATTGCCAGTTTCACGAAGGGAACAAATAATTTTTCACTTAAATTGCTGGTGAAACCAGCAGTTATACTTACTTTTTATTACATAGTGTACATGAGAATTTAAACTCCGATTTGGGTACATGCTTTGAAAAGGAATGGTGCTCAAATGCTGCTTTTGTTGTAAATACTTTCGGACATTTATCACACTGAAACATTTTCCGCTCTTTTGGTTCTGGCGGGTTGACGTGCGCCTCTTCATGTTGCTCTAGATTGCGACTGTCTTGGAAAAGTCTTCCGCATTGGGTACATTTGAAATGCTCTGGATTCCAATGCAAATATATGTGCTCAGCTAGAGCTTTTCTTTGTGGAAATTTTCGGCCACAGCACATCATATACCCGGGATCCTCGTTATGCGAAGCTCTAAAGTGCCCACGAATTTCAGCAAAGTTTTGGACCAACAACTCACATTTCGGACACGCGAACCGTCCAAAAAATTGCCTGATAGCTTTATCGTACTCATCTTGCTGAGCCCGTTTCGCTTCGAGTTCCTCTTTTGTCATACGTTTAGGGGGTACAAGAGGTTTCTCACGCTTACGATACTTTTTGGGCTTAACAACTTTCTTCTTCGGAATGACTGCATATTGCGGTTTTGGTTCGAAGTCTGGAAGGCTTTCATCTGAATCAGTATTGTCGCTGCTAGAATCACCGCTATCATCCGTACCAGAGCAACCGCCGAAGTCAGCGATGAATTCACGGTCATTATCGTTATCTTCTGCGTCACTATTAAGGGAGACCTGCTCGGTTTTTATATCCTTTTTACCATTATCTTTATTTTCGTTCTTTTCCTTTTGTTTCGTGACGTTTATATTAGGCGATGCTTCTTCAACCCGCACTTTTCTAGGTCTACCACGTCGCTTTTTTCTGAGGTTCAGTGGTTGAAGTAGTAGCGGTTTCATTTTCGGTTTTTGACTCGTCTTCGGCTGGTGATATTTCAATGACTCGTTTGCTATCGTCATTTGTATCAGTCTTGATGCTAGCATTCAATAAAACTGATAAAGGCAGTTCGGTTTCCGAGTCATCATCGTTAGCAGCCAGTGGCGATGGATCTCGTTTGATGCGTTTGGGGATGGCCGATGTTTTTGCATTTGGGTCTTTTGGCGGGCGTCCCCGACGCTTGGCTCGTTGGGCTCTTTTACTCGCAGGCGTGCTTTCTTCGATAATTTCGATTTGTGGTAATAAATCTAGGTCATACACCTCTAACTTGACTTCTAGATATGAAATTATTGGCAATTTATAGTATATACACGATAGCTGGACGAATTAGTATACATACCTGAGTCGAATAGGTTACCTTCCATATCCGCAGAAGTTTGCAACTTCTCTTCGGAATTCGTGGCATCTTCAGATTTAAGTTGGATTTCCTGTGGCAATGGATCGTTTTCTTGTTCTTGCTCAATGTGAGCAAAGGGAGTCTTCCAGTCTGCACGGTTGTGTACCTCAGCCACACGTTGATAGAATATGTGAAAATCACGCAATGCCTCCCAGCAAGTCCAGCAAATGCGTTGACCAGTAGATATATCCCTCTCCGGCTGTATAGTTCAAAATATTTCTTATAATTTCAAATATTATTTTAGTTTACTTACTTTCAACCATAGATGTTTGGCAATTATGCTGCAAATATTCATTTGGCAACCTTCCTCAGAAAAAATATCAATGAATCGTGCCGGCGTCATGCCATGTTCCAAACACAACAAACAGGCCATTGCACAATTAACGATTGCTAGTCAGTTTAATAGTATATAAACTAATACACAATATATCCAGTTTTATTTAATCTTTTTAAATTATGATAAGCACAGAAAACACAATTAAAATCGTGAACTGTAGAAAATACACAAATCTGCAAAAAAATCATACTCCACAACCACAAACAAGCTATGCAAAAAGATGTCAAATTGACAGCCTTCCGGAATCGGTTATGAACAGTGTTGCCAGAACTTCTTGGACCAACCGGCTAAATTGACAAAAAAAAACGGATAAACTGTTTCAACTAAATTTCACGTTTTATTTAAATAAACCACAAGTAGAACAACTAGTAAATTCATAATATTGTAGCATTTGGACATTTCGTGACCAGAATTTGATAAATAGCTGATTCACGGGGTTTTGTTGTTGAGACTGAAGCTGATGTCACATAAAACTTTTGCTTCGCTTTACGTGACAGATTCGCTTTGACAGATAAGATGAATTGTATGAAAATGCACAAAGCATGCCACATAAATCGTTGAAGCGGCAGCGCGAAGCGAAAAGATGGTCAACTCCCATCTTTTTGCGCGCTTTGGCAATCAGCCGGTTTAATATTTATTTTGTTTCGTCCAAATTCGGGTT